TCAAGCAACAAATGCTGGCGAGGTTGTGGAGAAACTGGAACCCTGATTCACTGTTGGTGGGAGTGTAAAATGGTACAACCCCTGTGGAAAGCAGTCTGCCCACTGTTTTATTAGCATTAACATAAGTTCTTTCCTTGGGTAGGTACTGCTCACATGTTAGAAGCTGATGTCCTCCTTCCTGCTGATGGATCAGAATACAACCAGCCAATCATGGCCCATCCTCCTGAGACAAGCAGTGATAACACGCTAGAGGAGTGGCTGGCTGAAGCTGTGAAAAGCAATAAAGGCATCAAGCTGGATTTCAAGAGGTATTGTACATCTTCTGATTGGTGTAGCCTTGGTGGGCGTGGGGACATTATAATTTGTGCGTCATACTTACAGTCTCTTTTGGTTGTCATATAGTTGAAGTGGGTGCTTATAAATAAAAGAACAGTACTAAACGTGTGTGTGTGTGTGTGTGTGTGTGTGTGTGTGTGTGTGTGTGAAAAAGAGAGTGCGCAGGAGGATATGTGAACAGTCATAACGTGTCAGGCACTGTTTTAAGAGAATTCTGTATCTTATTTCTGCTAATCCTTATAATAACCCTAAAATATAGGTTACTACTATTATCTTTGTCATACAGAGGAGGGAATTGTGGCACGGAATGGCTAAGTAACTTGGCTGGGTTGGCATTGGACAACTCTCAGCTTATCTGTTGAGTTCACAATGGGAACCAGAGTCCTGTGCTGTGTAACTCAATGCCCAAAATTTAGTACTAGTTCTTATTCTTCACTAGTTTAAAATAAGAAGTGGTACATGATGATTTTGTTCGTTTGTTTTGTTTTTGGTGGGTTTTGTTTGGTTTTTTGGCTCCCCATCAGGGAAACGAACACATAATTTTTAAGAAAAATCTGTAGTGGTGTTTTAATGGAAAAAAACCCCTTTTCCCATAAAATGGTATTTTAACTCTTTCATTATAGCTTTAAATATGATTTTTTATTTTGATGTACTAATTTTTTAAAGAGGATTAATAACAAAGTGAGGGAAGACATCCAGTAACATTTAGGAAAACTACCTATTCCTATCTATTCTTAAAGAAACGCCTCATTTTCTATTAGTCAGGAGAGGCCATTGCTTGGAAAGGGAGATGATGTCTGGAAAGTTAGAGGGTCAGCACAGACCCGCAGCAGGATGGACTGGCATGGTGACTGCGGCAGTGGGATGTCGGAGATGGTGAGGAGGCGTGGCAGACGACAGGAATCACATCTGTTGTGTGCACAGGGCTGCTGTGAGTCGTACTTGACTCAGTGGCACCTAACAACAACAGGGATTTCAGCAAGTATTACCAACAAACAGTTTTAAATAATGTTTTGTTTAGAACTTCCTCTTCAGATTACCATCTTGGCAAACTTTGTAGTTCTTTATGTCAGACTTAATATTCTTATATGGAGGAATTGAGCATTTTAGCTGTTGGTATTTTAAAATACATTTTCATGTCATTTCACAGCATCTGTAATATTGACTCTTCCAGCACAGAAATGGGACATAGTCTCTACATTAAATTTTGTTCTTTAGCAAAGTTTGTCCTCAATGCCTTTTTTCTAATTTCTGGAAATGTATTCCTGTCCTCAGACTCACCTAAGTCTGTTGTTGTTGTTAAGTGGTATTGGGTCATGGATGACTCATAGCAACCCTATGAATGAAAGACCTGAACACTTGTATAACTTTGGTCAGTTCCCCATGTTCATAGAGTTTCTGGAGGCAAGCCATTTCAGAAGTGGATGCCACTCCTGCTTCCAAGCTTATTTTAATCAGAAAGCTCCACCAAACACTGTCCACCATGGGTAACCATTATTGCATTTGACACATCAGTGTTACAGTGTTAAGCATCACAGCAACCATGAATTACCTCTGTACAGCAATGCACAGACTAGTGTTATACAACTTAGAAGAATGTTTGACAAAAACCAATTTCAGCCAGGCCTGAGTGCCACAGATTAAAATTACCCACCTTGGGCTTGGTAGCACCACTTTCTGTCCGCTAGGCTAACAGAGCTCTCTCTATGTTGTCGTTGTTAAATGCCATCAAGACCTAAGTCTACGTGAAAAAGAGACTTCCCCCCTTCCCCGTCCCCGCTACAGGATTATGACCTAATATTAGAGGCAAAGTACTTTAGTATATTTAGAAACTTAATCTTAAGTGTGAACTTATACTTAATTGATACTTTTAATTTGTTGCCTTCTCTGGTAGTGAATATTTGTGTCTTTTCTTATACTGTTTTTCTGTTGAGTTATCCTCATAGGGAGTTTGCAATTGTTGTCAGTTTACAAGTAGTAGCATCATTCATGTATTTGTCGAACTTTTTTTTTTCATATCAGATGGGTAGTGTGTCTATGTTGTAACAAGGTTTAAAGGGTGCCACAGAAGTATGACTGCCCAGTCATCATGCTTATGAACCAGAAAAGGATCATATTTTAGATCTTTTAAGGTACCTTCATGAATAAGGAGTACAAATGAACATTTTGAGATAATGGCATAGGTTAAGTTTCTCTCTGGAGTTAAATGCTGTATTTTATTATATTTAATTCATGGATTATCCTATATTTTTATTATTAATTTGAACACATTAACAAGACAACTCTGAAGGACTTCTTTTTTACGTTTACTTTCTGCGTATGTGTGATTGACAACAAAATATGTTTTTAGTCTGGCAGCTGTAGAACCATCAATGATGTTCTTAGAAAAGGTGAAGACATATCTGAATCGTCCTGTGTGGATTAATGCTGATATTCTTCCTGGTCCAAATGGAAGCAACAAGGTTGTGGACGCAGAACTATTTATAGACACTGTGACATCCTTCTTCCCAGATGTGACATTTTCTCTCGGTTGGACAACAGGATGGCATCCTCAGAAAGTCAATGAAGGTAATAATCCTAACAGTGTATTTCTTGTTAATCAAGTGAAAATATTATTTTTTTTCATTTATTTTATTTCATTTTTATTTTTTGTGTGTCCCGTCAAATCAGATCTGACTGGTACAGGAGGAGATTGTTCCTCCTTCTCCAGCAGAGCATCTGGTGGATTTGAATCGTGCACCTCTGAGACTGTAGTTGCAGCTTCTTGCCACTAGGCCACCAGAGCTCGCCAAGTGAAAATACTCTATAGATACAAAACCAGCGTCTCTGATAAAAAAAATCAAACCACTCTCCTACTTCCAATCCCACAATCTGAGAGCCTTGTAAAGAGGAAGGTCTGGCCCTGAGGCCATTGTTGTTGTTATGTGCCACAGAGTCTGAAGCAACCATAGCTGACCATCCAGCAAAAAGGCTGTAAGTCACACAGGAGATTGATCATGTTTTTCTCATGAAGCAGCTGGTAGATTTGAACTGACTGCCTTTGAGTTGGCAGCATAGCTCCTTACTCACTAAGCCCTGAGACCTCCATAAGGAGCTGAGGCGATATGTAAGTTATTTATCTTTGATAGGTTTACATTCATTGGTGCAGTTCTGTCACTAGAATTTATTTGTAAGGTTTTTAATAATCAGAACTGTCTTTCTGAATACTTCCAACAAATCCTAAATTGACCCCTTTGAACTTGTAAAATACTTTTCTTTTTTTGCCTTGCCTTGCCTTGACCTTAACTCCATGTCAGATGAAGGATAAAGTAGTTTTAAGTGAAGTCAAACAGAAGCAGGAGGGTGTGGGTGATGAGAAGCAAAAGGTCAAGCCCTCCAAACTTTGGAATGTGCTCCACCGGGAGGTTGCAGGATCCAAGCTGCACTCATTAGGAGCCAGTTGGGTTAGGGGTGTGGGAGACTCTTCTATGGGCTGGTATTCCTTCCCTGTCTTCTATCTTTGTACAGAAGAGACCTAACATTCTGCTGCTTTTTCCTGGTGGCTGCTGCTTTACCACTGGATTTATCCACCACTCTTTGTTCATGCGTGCTAGGTAGCAATTTCTAGTGAGACTAAAGTGTGCCGTCAAATACTTTGGGACAAGTGGTAAAAATAATAAAATCTAAAAAGACCTTAATTTAGGACTTTAGGAGATGTATCAAATGCATAAATTTTTACTTATAATTGTCTGCTATTTTCAGATGGGAAGTTTTATGTCCAACATGCTGTTAGAGCAGTTGCTAGCTTACGAATGGTCTGACCTTCTGGACCAAATGAATTGAGCAACTGAAATGATTGAAAACGGATACATTTTAATTTCCAGTCATTAAATTTCTTCTTTCATTATATAAGATAACATATAATTAAAAATGTCTAAAGAAGATACATTAGAAACATTTTACTTTTCTTCTTATATCTAATTTGCTTTTATACTGAATCAGACTTTGCTTTTAGCTACCTCTAGGTCGTTCAGCTAGTTTAGTGTTGAGTGTTTCCAGACTTCCGCTGATCCGCTGCCTTGGTCATCATTACAAACATGAATTTTATCTTCTCTTTTTATGCCACAGTTGTTGGGGTTTTTTTAAAGAGAAGATATTTTGGGTTTATAATCACATAATTTTTCATTTGACAATCACTTTTTTGTAGTTGAAAAGATAAAAATCGTCTAGATTTTACAAAGAAAATAGACATTTTCTTTCATCCACTAAGAATTTAGCTACAAAGCTAACGTATCAATTCAGGTTTTATTTGAAAGGGCCCTTTAATGATCTGTACTGTTTATAACCTGCTTTTAATAGAATTTGCTTAGGACTATTTCTTTAATGTATTTTTTTTTTACTAAGGACTATTTCTTTAAAGTATATATTTTTTTTATTTTATTATTTTTTTGTGTGTGTTTACCGTCAAATTGGATCTGACAGGTCCAGGAGGAAAGTATCATATTTTTAAAGCTGCTTATAAATAGGCCAGTATTTCAAAAATGTCTTAACAAGATTCAAAACACACATATATGGAATAAATTCTGCCACAGTGTTAAACGTAAGTCATCTGGAGGATGGTGCAGGACAGGACTGGTTTCAGATCTTTTGTTCATAGGGTCATTATGAGTCGTACTCGACTCAATGGCACCTAACAACAACAACATCTGGAGTAGCCAAAACAGTTGATTTGTGGTTAAGTATTACTTACACAGTGAATAACTACTTAGAAATTCGCTTTCTTTAAGCAAGAGAAAACTTAATTAACACAAATGGAAAATGATAAGTTTTTTAAAAACATGTACACCTGAGTGGTGCAATTAAGTGTTTGACTACTAGTATAAAGGTTGGCAGTTCACACTCACCCAGATGTATTGGGGAAAATGGGCTTGGAAGTCTGTTTGTGAGAAATTGCAGCCATTGCAAACCCTGTGGAAGACCCTAATCCATAGAGGGTGCCCTGAGGCAGAGCCAGACCTATTGCAACTGACTTGTTTGTTTGTTTTAAATACCTGACAAAGAACCTTAGACTGTTTAAAGCAAATAAAATCTTGTGAAATGTGCTCCTTTCACACTTGGGAAATGAGTAAAAACTCTTTATGAAATTAAGTTTTAGCAAATTTTACTCTCACTTGTGGCATGGTTTTAAATTCATTGTTTTGTCTGTGTTTCCTTTTGAAATAGTTTCTCGTAAATGTTATTTTCACTCACTGGGAATTCTAATGGGCATTTTTATGCTCTTGGATATTATAGTTGCATGTGTTTTCTGCTTTGTTTCAATTAGTTCGCTTGCAGAATCCTAAGTAGAAAATTTGCATTTCTTCTTTTCATTTCAGGTTACAGTTGGGCAATGGTGAAGGAGATGGAGTATATATGTGCGGGGCTAAGTCAGCCTGTAACCTTTCCTGTCAGAGCAGCATTAGTCAGACAGTCTTGTCCTCAGTTCCTTTGGTTGTTAAAACAATCAAACCGGTACGTATTCATTTAACAGTGTGGCATGTGCGTGGGAGTGTGTATGAGAAATGGTAAGAGGATGAAAATTGATTATGTTTGCACAGGCTCAGTCACCTTGACTGTCTAGTATTTTTCAGTTCTATTCCTCTAAAAACTTTTTTTAATTGACATTTTAATGAAATTTTATAGAGAACATGGATTTCCATTCATTCATTGTTGCACATTTTCCTCCTTGCCCACCCCTCCCCCAGATTGCTTTTCTTTTTGGAAAAAAAAATTCAATATTATACAATCCTCCCACCCCACCTACTTTATAATTCAGCTCTTTCTCTGGACTGATGTCGTGCATATAATACCTAATCATATATTCTGTTTAAGCAGTTCTCTCCCTCATATGTTTCAATGCAGTGTACATTATTTACCCCCTCTGTTCTCAGTTTCCCCCCAACCCCGATGTCAGTTCTGTTTTATAATAGTGGTATTATGCAGTATTTGTCCTTTTGCAACTGAGATATTTCGCTCAGTATAATGTCCTCCAGGGTCACCCATTTTGTTTATTATTTAATGAGTTCCTTCTTTTTCAGTGCAGCACAGTATTCCATTGTGTGAATATACCACAGCTTCTCTATCCATTCATTTGTTGATGGGCACTTGGGTTGTTTCCATCTCTTTGATATTGTGAACAACACAGCAATAAACATGGGTGTGTATACTCAAAAAACTTTTTAAACTATGTATCTGCTTAAAATTTATTTAAATTTTCTTATTGTGAAATAGCATAGATAAAAATGCATAAAACATTAATGTGCATTTTAATGAACTACACCAAAGGTGGATGATTTTAATCTATGGCCTTCTGGCCTGGTTTTAATTGCTTTTAGTCAAACATTCTTCTGAGTGGTATAGCACTGGTCAGTTTGTTTGCTGTACAGAGGTAACTTGTGGTTGCTGTGATGCTAAACGCTGACACTGATTTGCCAAATGAGATAATGGTTACCCATGGTGGACAGTGTTTGGTGGAGCTTTTTGATTAAAACAAGCTTGGAAGCAGGAGTGGCATCCACTTCCAAAATGTCTTGCCTCCGGAAACTCTATGAACAGTGCTCAAGTCTTTCACTCGTAGGGTTGCTATGAGTCATCTATGACTCAGTGGCACTTAACAACAACAACAACGTCTGCTTTATAAATATTTGCTATCCCACATTCACAGAAAATTACAAATGGAAATGATGGTCCCTTTGAATGCCTGCCACTGTAATTTCAGAAGTCTTTTCACATACAAAAATTTTTATATATAATGAAAGTTAATTGAACCACATATTAAATATTAAAAGAGCTTTGATGGCCTGGTATGTAAGGAGTTGTATTTCTAACCCTAAAGTACATAGTTTGAATCCACTCGCTGCTTCACTAGAGAAAAATGGACAGTCTCCTCCTATAAGATTTACTACCTCTAAAATCTCCCTTGAGGAACATCTAGGAGTTGGTTCAAACTCAGTAGCATGTAACAACAACATTAAATACTAAGATCCAAACATATAGACTAGAAAATAATTTGGCATTTTTTTAAATAAACTATTCAAATAGATATCAAGGGTATTATCCAGGAAAAGTGCAGACAGTCATTGCAAAGACAGAAGAGGAAGAAAAGACCAAAATGGATGTCAGAAGAGACTCTGAAAATTGCACTGGAGCAGAGAGAAGCCAAAGCAGGAGGAAGAATTCAAGATACTAAAGAGCTGAATAGAAGATTTCAAAAGGCAGTGTAGAATGACAAAGTAAAATATTAGAATGAAATGTCCAGGGAGTTGGAGTCAGAAAATCAAAAGGTCCGAATTCATTCAGCATTTCTTAAGCTCAGAGAACTGAAGAACAAATTCAAACCTCTAATTCCTATAGTCAAGGATGCTTTCGGCAGAATGTTAAATGATCCAGGAAGTATTAAAAGAAGATGGAAAGAATATACTGAGTCACTGTATCGAAAGGAATTGGCAGACACAGAAAAATTTCATGAAACAACATATGAGCAAGAGCCTATGGTGATGAAAGAAG